TCTTCTTCAGGGCTTCGTAGCAGGGATTCCTTTTCTGTGCTCTGGCAGCACGGATCCTCTTCTCAGGGGGCCGTTGTTGGGGGGGAGGCTCGCATGCCTCGACCCGCGAAACGGGCTACTATTGGCATTGACCACCAGAAAGAATCAACAGATAAACCCAAAATTGTACAACAGCAAAACTGGCCGCTGTTGGGGGCGGGGCTCGCACGCCTAGACCAGCGAAACGGCACCTACCACAAGAGATAGTCAACGGATAAACCCAAAACTGTACAACAGCATTGGCTCTGTTGGCACCCACCACAAGAGATAGTTCACAGATAAACCCGAAATTGAACAACGGCAAACCTGGCCAGTGTTGTGGACGAGGCTCGCATACCTAGACCCCTACCACAAGAGATAGTCAACGGATAAACCCAAAACTGTACAACAGCAAAATTGGCTCTATTGGCACCTACCACAGGAGATAGTCAACAGATAAAGCCGAAACTGGACAACGGCAAACCTGGCCACTATTAGAACCTACCACAAGAGATCGTCAACGGATAAACCCTAACTTGGACAATGGCAACACTAGCTACGGTTGGCACCCACAAGAAATCTCTGAAGATTTCTGTGTGTAGGCAAAACACTATCCGCCCGACAAGGATTTTATTTAGAATAAAACCCTAAACCCATAAAAGGTGAAAATTTGGGTGGCTGGGGTAGGATACCCAATACAACACACGGCGGTGCCTCCCCTTCGATATCTCGGGGAGGCGCCGCCGTGTCACTAAAGGACGCCCTAAACCCTAAACCCTAAACTAAAGCGAGCGATGTTGTCCGCGACGCTTAAGAGCCCTGAACATCGCGAGCGCTACCCGCACGCTGAGTGCCGGACATCGAAAAGAATTGAGATGCAGGAGCCTGACAAGGTGAGCGCAAAGAGTTAGCTTTGTGCTCCGTCCCGCATTTATATCCTTACATAAAGGGTGCATGCGCAGACTGCGCTAAAATAATATAATGTCTTATATTTTATTCCCCTAAACCCCGAGGGTTTGGACCGTAACCAGGCTGTGAAGGCTTAACTTGCAGGTTTGCTTGTCAGACCCTCTGGAGCCTCCCTGGTGCCTCCCAGGCTGTGCAAATGGTCCTTTCCTGCCTCCCTGGTGCATCGCAAGCTGTCCAATTAGTCCTTTCCTGCCTCCCTAGTGCCTCCCACGCTGTTCAAATAGTCCTTTCCTGCCTCCCTGGTGCCTCCCTGGTGGCTGTGCAAATCATCCTTTCCTCCCTTCCTCGTCGGGATTACCTTTAACAGCCCTTGGCTCCTGCCTCCCTAACGCTTCCCTGGTGCCTCGCAGGGTGTCCAATTAGTCCTTTCCTGCCTCCCTGGCGCCTCCCAAATTGTCTTTCAAGACCCTTTCGTAGCACAGGCTTACCGGTCGAATCCCGATTCTCGACAGGCGCCCGATTTTGTCTAACTTTAATACAATTTCAATGCCGATCGGCCCGGTTCGCGGCAAATCGTGGGGTGGCTCCACGGCCGGTTGTCCAGCCTGGAAGATCTGTGACAATTAGTCCTTTCCTGCCTCCCTAGCTGTCCAAATGATCCTGTCCTACCATTCTGGTGCCTCTCTACGGGACGATGCCGACCGGCCCGGTTCGCCAGCAGCTCCTTTAACCGGCCCGTGGCCTGAAGCTTGCTTCGCAATGCCTTCGTGGGGTCCTCTAGAATGCGGAATCTTTATCTCGGGACTAATTTGAAGGACCCAACAAACCCTTCAGCTCTAGAATGAGAAATCCTTATCTCGGGACTAGTTTGGAGGAGCCAGCAGCTGCTTCGCTTTAGCTCTGAGATGAGGAGTCCTTATTTCGGGACTAATTTGAAGGAGCCAGTAACTCCTTCGCTTTAGCTCTGAAATGAGGAATCCTTGTCTCGGGACCAATTTGAAGGAGCCAGCAGCTCCTTCGCGTTAACGCTGGGATGAGGAATCCTTATCTCGGGACTAATTTGAAGGACCCAACAACCCCTTCAGCTCTGGAATGAGAAATCCTTATCTCGGGACTAATTTGAAGGACCCAGTAACTCCTTCGCTTTAGCTCTGAAATGAGGAATCCTTGTCTCGGGACCAACTTGAAGGAGCCAGCAGCTCCTTCGCTTTAACGCTGGGATGAGGGAATCCTTATCTCGGGACTAATTTAAAGGACCCAGCAACCCCTTCACCTCTGGAATGAGAAATCCTTATCTCGGGACTAGTTTGGAGGAGCCAGCAGCTGCTTCGCTTTAGCTCTGAAATGAGGAATCCTTATCTCGGGACCAATTTGAAGGAGCCAGCAGCTCCTTCGCTTTAACGCTGGGATGAGGAATCCTTATCTCGGCCAGTGCCCACCCTGAAAGGCACGATCCCCAATGTGCTTCTCTGAGCCGCGGAGCGGATACATACCCTGGACTTCGTCCAACGACTCGCTCTGCCGACCGGCTTGCGGTGCAACCCTAAAAGGCATGATCCTCAATGTACACGATTAGCCGCTTGCAAAAACAAGAAAAATAAAAAAATCGCTTTAAGCAAAAACAAGTTGTGAATCAGAGTCATTGTCATTGTCACCTACATGATGCTGTAGCCGGCGCTAAGCAGGGTGTGGCTCTGGCTCGTCGCCAGCCTTTGCCTCCATCATGGACCGAAGTATCAACGCCAGCCAGTTTGGGCTGTCTGACCACTGCAGGAATCCTAAGGTCCTAATAACAGTCCTGAATACCAAATGGGCCACAAAGCTACGGGATACGTTTTTCCAATCTTGCGGCTACGGTACGACCCCACAGCCCTGACTTAAAATCGAACCAAGAAACGTTTGCAAAGCACCGGTCTTTGCACAGCGAGCAACCACGCCAGTGTCTATGCTGTCGCCGCAAAAATTCGAGACCCTCTTCGGCTTCCATGAAGACCACACGAAACATTTGCCAGGGCCAACTCTGTTGCGGCATAACCACCCTTCGCAAGGTGTCAACCATAGACTGAAGGATGAGGGGAGCACACTCCACATATGACACCCCGAAGAACGGACACCACTTCGAAGAGTTTGGAGGCTGCAACAGGAGGTCGCAAAAATCTTGAACTGCGCGCCGTCCCTCTACACCTGTGAGCACCTTGTAGTTCATTTCAATCAGCTCCTCCACATGGAAGGGGCACTTGCTACCCTCCAACCGCTCCAATCCAAGCAAATCTTGCCGAACTCGAACGCGGATAGATTCCACCAATGAAAGGTGATTCATAAACCTTGTGAGTGGCAGTGCAACGACTGAAGTTTGCCCAACCATCTCCTCGATAGTCGGTCGATACGTCGATCCGTGAAACAGAACATCATAATGTCTTCACTTTACAACATCAATCATCTAAATCTATTACAAAAGGTTAAGGGCAAGTCGACAACTACAAGGGCAAAGGCAAAGGGGCCAATGCATTTGGAGCGTTGAGGAAAACGTGGACCTTGTTCATTCTAACTTGCTGTTTCTTCCCAGGAGCGGCATCAGTACAATCCTCATCCATGAGCTTGATTTGATCGTCCCCAAGCTCTTCATCGTGGCCCTTGTCCATGCAGCAACTCCAAAGAATGGATACTCAGGCCGCGAATCACATAGGCAAGGGCGCTGTCGATGTGCTTCCACCTGTACAGTAGAGGCGTCTCAAATATATTCCCGAAGGCAACCTCGAGCGCCTGCCGCATTTTGAACTGGAAGTCCTTTTTTGTCTTGCAACAATTTGGCTTGCAGAAGTGTAGCAAAGAACCATTGTTCACAGGGCAGCCCCAATCATTGTTGAGCATGCTCAAAATCAACTCTTGCCCGTCCGAGTTCTGCAAATCGCTGCTGCAAAGATTCAGAACAGCTCTGTTCTGATCAACCTTTGCCGACAATGGTACTTCCACCACTTCCATCCTCACAGCTTGTTGGGCCAATGCATCCAAGCTATTGGCCAAGCGGGAACGAAAGAGAGTCGTTTTAGATGCGTGGGCCGGCTAAGCCCTCTGCGGCAAGAATAATGGGCTTCTTGGCTTAAACAACCTTGGTGGTGCATGCAAAACGAGAAGGCCTGGCAAGATATCGAGCCATCGGTACCTCTTGTCTGGAAACGGGACTGCTCCATCCCTGCCACGCTGAGGTTGAAGGAAGTTTCTTGCTATCCGGGGTTGCTGTTTGCAACCAGGGTTGCTGCATTAATGCTTTTGTCGATGGTTGAAATACTGTCGCATCATATTCCTTGTCGCAAGTTGCTGGCATTGAGCCAACGTCGTAGTGCTCCCTCTTGAGCCCTATAATAATTCATCACAAGACAAGCCATATTATATGTCGATGACACCCACCCACCCACCCACCCACCATGATCATCATGGCTGATTGCCTGCAAGTCATGGGGCTGACGGACACATAAAGCAAGCAAGTAAGAAACAAAATACAGGGACCTAACGGACAGCTTGATAATAAGCAAAACATATTATAGGCAAAGAGCAGGTGGAAACATAAAAGAACCATAGGTAGATAGACAGGTCAGATAGTCAAAAAGGAGGTGGACAGTTTTTCGATAGGTTGATACTTTATAGGTACATGGATCAGTAGACAAATAGTAGATCTTCCGATTGATTGGTCAGTTGGTTGGTTGGGGATCTTGATAGAAAAAAGTAATTATATAACCTGTTATGGCAGGAAGGTCCCATCCGTTGTGCGACGAACCGTCGATCACCATCAGACCAACACCCCCAAGAAACTATATCCATGCAAACGTGTGTCGTGCGTCACAGTTTTTACGTTTCAAGTTGCCTGCTAAAACATGTTAGTTGTTGTAAAGACCTGTGACTGGGACTCAGCTGAACTTCATGTTTGCACTCTGTTTTTAGGATATAAAATTAGCGATTTCCGCAAAAGAAGGCGGCCACGGCTTTTCAACTCCAATTTCCTTCAAGCTGTCGTGCCCGCTAAGGGTCAATGTCTGTCGGAAAATTGACCACACTTAAAATGGTCAGCTCTAAGTCTACTCGACATCTTCGATCGCATCGTCGTGTTCCTTTTCAGCTTCTTCCTCTGCTTCCTCATCGCCGACGTCACCGCCGGAATCATCAGCGGCGGCATCAGCGCTCACAAGCGCTGCCGCGTCAGACTCGGCCGCCGGAGCACCCACACCACGAGCCTCTCGCGCTTGCTCTGCATGCGCTGCTTGGCTCATCATCGTCTCCTGACGAACAAGGAACAATTTGTGTATAAATATATATGGTAAATAAATTGGATTCACCACATTGCGTCAAGAAGCTGACAGCTGAAATCTCAGCGTAAGCAAACACACTGTTACTGTTGTAAGGTTTGGACAGCAAGTGTCTTGACTTGCTCTTTGGTGGCACCCCGTTCAAGCTCCACCCTGCATGCTTCCTTGGCACCACGTGACATAGTAACAACAATCTAGATTGCGTGAGACGAACTGCAAACTTAGCTTGGTTTCAGCTACTTCCATCTGTTTCTCATCACTGACATCGGGGTGATGCTTCACCTGCCAGGGGATGACTGCATTGAAACCAGAACTGAAAAATTGACGAGGCAATATATCATAGCGCTGTTTGAATTTACATCACGAGGTTTAAAAGAAAACCATCTGCTTTTCATAACCCCCACCGTGACCATTTCCTTGCCATTGAGTTTGATGCCCCACATGTTCTTCTTGTGGTACTTGTATTTTGTGGCCTTCAACTCAACCTTCGCAGCAGCAGGCCTTTTGAGGGCCGGCGGGCGGGGGGAGTCGGGGGGGTTGCCGGAGCTGCCTGCTGGGTTTCTTGCAGCTGCTGGCCGCTTCATTGTGGCTGTTGCTTTTGGTGCAGGTTCTTCTGTTTGTTCTTCGGGGGTGTCATCTGTTGGTTGCTTCTTCATGGGCAACGACTTTGACTTTGCTTTTGCCTTTACTGCAACGGGTTTCGGAGTCGGCGGTGGCTTCAGAGTGGGAGTTGGCTTTGCGGTCTCAACTTTGGGTTTCTCGATGTGCTCATCATCAGACAATTTCTCAACGCTTGCGAATGGCATGACACAACAGCAGCAGTCAGACTAACTACTAAGCGCGCGCAGGAGTTTGAAATTAATTGCTGCCTCGCGAACATAAACCGGCTTGAAGAATCTGAATCTACAAACTTACAATGCACGCACAAAGAAATGAATCGCAAGGTAGAAAGCGAAGCTTGGGTTCAACCGGTGTGTCAACTGTTTTTGCACGTCAATCAACGACTATCTTCAAGACGGATCATGCCCCTTTTCAAAGGGCAACTTCCCAAAAGTCCCTTCTGCTCAAAACTAGGCCAAGGATGGCACGTCAGCTGATTGACTGTTTCAGCACCAACTACTTCAATTGCACAGCAGTCTGCGCAGGAAGTGCCAAATTGCAAGTAAGCCAAAGCTTTGGCTTCAATCCATCGATTGAAGTGTGGTTCACCCGCACCTCCAAGCGGCAACTCAAAACATGAAATGAAAACACCGACATACCACTTCAAGTCTTGCAAAGAAACATACATGACACCTCGCCTCCCACAGCGTAGAGCACATGTCTGAAGAGGGCAACTTGGAGAGGCCAAGATCCAAGAACGCAGCTCCAAACATAGATCCCCGAATATCCGAGGTGTCGGTGTCAGCCGCAAGGGCCTTCGGTTCGAACATGTTGATTATAGCGCGCGCCTTCACGTCGTACCGAAAAGGCCGTGGCCTGCCGTCCTGTCAGAGCTTCAGAAACTACACACTTCATTACACGACAGCTGTAAGCACAACTTCTGCGGTTGATTGGTACGCCTGCTGCTTTGCGAACAACTGGAAGGTGATCGAAAAAACAAATGAAAGGCTCAATGGTTTTACACGCTTTCTCACAAAACAATTCATATTTCAAGGCCGCCAATTCAAGGCCAATGGACTGGAAGATTGTTTGGACAGCAAACATATAATATGGAAGTGGAAATTGCAATGACAACAGGAACTGCCATTAACATCCATTGACTGTCCGAGCAAACAAAAACCCCACGAGCAAGTCAAACCCCACCAGCTTATTGTCATAGACTTTTAAATTCGGCAGGAATGCATTGTCCTCCATCAGCTGCGTCAAATTATGATCTGCCAAGCTGAGTTCTGTCAAGCCTGACTTTTGGGCCAAATCACAGGCCAGCTCCGAGATGCAAGAAGGTGTTTTGTTGCCATCCTCAACTACCACAAGCAAATCTGTGTCTTTGGTGAAGACGAAACCAATCGCCTTGTCCTTCACAAGGCTTGCGCTGCCTGGTTCTCTGCCGCGCACGAAGAACAAAAAACAATGACAATCATGGAATTTGAGACTCGCGCATTCCTGATTTATATAATCGCTCAAAGCCTAGCCTAGTGGTTTTTCAATGAAGGCTCCCACATTGAATCCGCACAGTTCACCAGGGCCCGCATCACACTGAGCGTCCGTCTTGTTGAGAAGCCAAAGCTCAGCCGTGTTCGTCATAGCAAGACAAAGGTCGCTGTTCACAATGGGGTGGCACGATGCCTTCAACCTTTGGCTTGTCGCGAGCATTTTCACGTCCCTAGAAATTCTAGACCATCAGAATCTATAATGTAACTCAACATCTTTTTTGCTGTGCACAAACAGTTACCTAGAGACAGAAAATCTATAATGCTCATCTTGCGGTTTGTCCCCAACCAAATTTCCAGCGCGTAAAACAAACACAAGCTTGCTAAATGGTGACAACAAACACTTTCTCTGCTTCAAACGCGGTGATCGCCATCAAGGATGACGGTTCCAAGTCCAGAGTTCGCAGGCAATTGGTGGGTCTCTCGCTGTCTGCAAAAGTTGGTCTGCAAGAGGTCCGGTTGCGGTTTTGGTTGGGGTCAGTCGTTGAAGTTGAAGCCGTTTCCGGGCGTGGAACAGCAGGCCGGCTCCTTGCCGCTTCCTGGTTCCACACCTTGAGTTTCTTCTCCCACTCTACTGCTTTCGGACCCAAAGCATCTTTGGCAGGCGTTGTCAAGCTCAACCTGAGCATGGAGTGTAATGCGCTGCAACTCTTTTTGGAAGACTGTATGAGTAGAGTCGAGGCACTGCAGGGAAGCTGCATCAAATGATAGTGCCTGCAGTTTTGGCGGTGCCTCGTCAAAGGCCGCCACTTGACGCTGTGAAGGACCTACATCACTGCAAGTATCCCAGTATTCCTGAGCCAATCAATGGCGTCATAATTAATTAAGTTCTTGCAGTGATGATTTGCTTTGCCACATAACGCATGACTTGAATTTAAGGCTTGCGCAGTGAGCACTTGCGCAGTCAATCCCTTTTCGATCCCCTCCAGGCTGTTGAATACCCCGTTCTCATGAGAGAATGACAGAAACCTCCAATCGATCTGACGTGGTGTTTTCAAGAACTGAAGCTGTAGAATCCAAACCGCGCGTCCCCATTCATTGAACCTTGGGCCAAAAAATGGAAACAAGTCGCAAATTATTTAGACATGCCAAGCGAATGAGCGTTATCTTAGTTAAGATAAAATGTTTACTGATGTTTATTGACTCTTGCAAGCAACCGGTTTGGAAGTAGGTCCACACAGTACATCTTGTTTCCCTTGCCAGCCACATCGATACCATCAATCAACCCAGACAAGACTTGCTTGGTGCACTCTGCACCTCTCTGCTGTGCCTCAACAAATTGCCACCCAAAGGGTTCATCCACATTCAATCCACAAATCCACGCAACAAACATGAAGTATATTATAAACCATATACACATTGTGTGTGTGCGTTTGCAACGTGCAACATTAAAGGTTTAAAACCCAGAAGCCCGCTGCGCAGGCGATGCTGGTCGGTCTGGGTCAAATGACCACAGGTCTGACACCCTCGCCCGATCGCAAGGCCCAATGGTCCCACTGATCAAAGCGCGGGATTTGCTGAACCCAAATGACTTGGAATGAACTTGAGAGATGGCCAACACTCCTCAGTTTCAGCAAAAAAAAGAGCCACAAAAGGAATGGTATCCAAATTATTCCAAATTTACTGTATCCACCCCATATTCTATGAATGCTTTGCTCACTATGCAAGACGCCAGCGTGGCTGCGCTTCCTCTTGTCGTTGCCGTGGCCTGAGTCCTTGAAGCCAATGGTGATGTCATGAAGATCTGCAAACCTCAGCTACTATATAGTTGGTGAAATGCCCAACAACACTTGGTTATCCTTGGTCAGAGTAAACATGGCGAGCCATCAAGCAACCTAACACCTGCATCAAGAGACTGCATCAGCCGGTCCTCAACCAATCTGCGGTTCTTCACAGTGACGGCTTTGTCGCAAGAAGTGTGCTGGACTGGAAACAATACCAGCAATGCAGCATTCTGGTTTGCAGTCATGATCGATCGCGCTGCATCACAGGCCTCCTCCATGTCCATCAGGCCTTGAAAAAGTTGTTCATTGAATTGAAATTGGTTCATCTGGCGTAGCCGCAAAAGACTGAATACCTACTTGTCACCAAGCCACGATTTGGGAAGACTGAGAGGTCCATCACCAATAGTGTGTACCTCAAGCGGTGGGCAAGTTGCTTTAAAGCTCCAAGACCGTTTGGTGATACTCAAGTTTGGAGAATCCAGTTGTCAAGGTTCAACAAAGATGTAGCAGCCAAGAAGCACGTCTCCAGGATCTCCATTCGCACTTAGCAGTTGCAGCACTTCGGCATGCACTTCCACCAGCCCAGTCAAGTTCTTGTAGAGCTGATGTTTTCCCATGTAGTTTTGGCACCATGTTTTGCCGCGGGCATATCGCTGGGACAGATATTGGAGATCAAGCCCCCCCCTGCAGCAAGGAACAAAACTACTGGGAAGGAACCTATCACTGAACCTGTCCATCTCAAAATAATATCTCAAGTGTTTCCTTAAGTTTATCACACAGCGCATGTTTCACAGCCTGTCTGTTTGCATGCTGCTGCGCACGCTTCACGTACTCATTTGCTTGATCCAAGTCGTCAGTCGCATGGGCATTCATTTGCATCTGGTTGGTCGCCGCCAGTTGCATGGATATCCTTGGATAGTACCCTAAGAACAACACGCACGCAGTCACATTGCCACATAATACACAAGGAACCCCTTAGCGCTTAGTTAGGCCTTTTTGTGAATGCATGGTCAAGCCAGCATTGCAAGGGCAAGGGACGCATCTGCTGCCTTTGCTTTCGTCTCTGCCACCTGGTTCAAACATCAAACACAACCAACCT